ATCAATTTAGTTGTTGTCTGATGTGATTGAGTGCTTGTAGAAGGATTTGTATTTCTAAAACTGTATTCTTGTATTTGTCTTTAGTAAATAATAATTGTAACTCTATCTTTCAACCTTGGTTCAAGATTTTGAGGTTTGAAACTAAGATTAATTGGTAATTTTTGAACTCTTCAATTTACGATGGTTTAATTTATCATTCTATTAATTGATCAAAATAGCATAGCAAAATCAACTACTCTTGACCTCTCATACATGACATTTGCATCACCTCCCCTAGTTTAATTGTTCTTCCTCTTTGGACCCCTAATAACAATAATTGATTGGTGGTTGTTCGATTGAATCGTGAACAAGAGTAGTTGAGAGCTGATCGCTGACGTAGTTATAACAGTTGAAAGTTGATTTAATATTTGAAAGTTATTTAATTAATGACTGACAGTCGACAATTGATTGATGATCAACGTTAGACTGAGTTGTGAATTGAAAGTAGTTGATAGTTGATGTAGTTGCAACACTCTGATCAGATACAGATAACAGCTGACAGATGACAATTGATTGATTAATGAACGTTAAATTTGGATGTGAATTGAGAATAGTTAATAGTTGATTTAGTTACAATACTTTGATTCGATACATAAATAGTTGATATTCAATATTCAAAAGTTACTAAATCAAATAAATGTTTAATCTCTTAAATGGAATAATGAGAATATGAAACCTATGAATAACTATGCAATATTTATCACCATCAATATTAAGTTCAATTTCTAATAAAATAATTTTTACAATAGAAGAACATTGATAAATACAATGAGTTTAAAGCTGAAATCATTCCTCAACTATGACCTAAACTTAAAGTACACCCTTATGTTATATAAGTGAACAAAAAATATCCTTGGGCTATCCAAAAAATTGCATGATTCATCCTTCCGTCCATTTAAAAAAAAAAAACTCAAACCACCAACAAAAAATAAATGTGTCAAGTCGAATGAATATATAAACACATGGTTAAGCTAGTCAAGGCAAGTGATTCTTTTTATAGAAATTGAGGATTTAAATCATATTCAGACAAAATATATTCAAATTTCAAATATTCTTGTAAAAATATGGTCAAATACTACTCCAACTTCAAATTTTCGAATACAATAAGTATTTATTTTATTTTCATAATTAAACGCCTACATAATTTCACTAAATTTTCAATATTTTTATACGTTGTATAAAATGTGAATTGCATTGTATATAAAGTACATGACACATGCGTCCTAAATATTTTATCAATATATATAAATAATTATTGATTCAAAATAGTCAATATCATATTTTGTTAATATAAATTTCAGACCTTCTTAAGACTTTTTAATCTTCAAAAATTTTGATTATTATTCTTATCAATTTATGATAATCTCCGCAAAAAATAAGTTTCGTTTCACTCCCTTCTTGTTGAAGGATTATGCAGTTGATATTGGATTTCTCTTCTATTGGTGATGCTTTCATCAACCGTATATAACCGTTTAGGATTTTGGTATGCGTTTTTTTTTTTTTCATGTTATAAGTTTTGTTTTTTACAAAGAAAAGTCAAAGTATTACTATAATTGATTTTAACTTTTATGAAAAAAAAATATAAATCTCTTTTATATTTGGTAATTCCTATTTTTTGAAACTTTATAAATTGAAGATTTTTCTATATAAGAACACAATAACATCCACAATATAATCATTTAAAGAGTTTTGTTTAGGGGAAGATTTTCCTCCCAAAATGCTTATGTTTTTTCATATTTGTTTGATTATATATAGATCGTTTGATCAAATTATATTAATAATATTATGTCTTAGTATATCTTTTGCATGACGCTCTAACCTAACAATACCTTATCTAATATTTTTAAAAATTTATGTAAAATCACTATGTTTTTTATTTTTTTATTTTTAATAGGGGTAAGAGAAATGGAGGAGTAGATTACAAAACGAAGAATTAAATCTTCACCAATAGATCAAAATTTGAATAGTCAATCAAATGATAAGATTTAATTGTAACTCTATCTTTCAACCTTGGTTCAACATTTTGAGGTTTAAAACTAAGATTAATTGGTAGGTTTTGAACTCTTCAATTTAGGACAATTTAATTTATCACTCTATTAATTGATCCAAATAGCATAGCAAAATCAAGTACTTTTGACCTCTCATACATGACATTTGCATCACCTCCTCTAGTTTAATCTTTAGACCTCCAACAATATTAATTGATTGGTGGTTGTTGGATTGAATCGTGAACGAGAGTAGTTAACAGCTGATCGTTGACGTAGTTATAACAGTTGAGAGTTAATTTAATATTTGAAAGTTATTTTATTAATGATTGACAATCGACAATTGATTTATTGATGATTAACGTTAGCCTGAGTTGTAAATTAAAAATAGTTGATAGTTGATGTAGTTACAAAACTCTGAACAGATACAGATAACAGTTGACAGTTGACAATTGATTGATTGATGAACATAAATTGAAATGTGAATTGAGAATAGTTGATATCTGACATAGTTATAATACTTTGATCTGATACATAAATAGTTAATAGTTAACAATTCATTCAATACTCAAAAGTTACTAAATCAAATAAATATTTAGTCTCTTAAATGGAATAATGAGAATATGAAACCTATGAATAACTATGCAATATTTATCACGATAAATATTGAGTTCAACTTCTTATGAAATAATTTTTACAATAGAAGAACGTTGGTAAATACAATACTTAATGATTTTGGCACGAAGATTGTTATTAAGCATGTAATTCGAGAAGTCGGAGAATGTACGTACACTAATATTAACTAAGTTGGATGGTTATTACCCAATTTCATAATATATCGTAGGAAAATCTATAAGTTGTCCCATAATTTTATTCAAATAAATTATTTATAATATTTGAATTTTATGGGCGAAATAGGAGTTAGGAATGGACAAAATTTTACAAAGTTAAAGGTTAAATCTAGGTATATTTATTTTAAAAACTTAATTTAATACGTATAAATAATTATTTTCTTCGTGATTTAAAATTGTCAATAGCGTATTTTTTTAATGTAAATTAATTTAGACCTCCTTAACAACATGCTTGTGTTTTTTCGTAAATGTTTTCTCATATATAGATCGTTTGGTCAAATTATATTAATAATATTATGTTTTAGTATAGCTTTCTCATGACACCTTAATGACTTTCGAACCTAATAATACCTTATCTAATGTTTTAAAAAAGTTGTGTAAAAATCATTATGTTTTTTTTTAATAGGGGGGAAAAGAAATGAAGAAGGAAATTACAAAACGAAAAATTAAATCTTCACCAACCAGATAAAAATTTAAATAGTCGATCAAAAAATAAGATTTTCACTTTTTTTTATATATATAATTATAGGAATTACTGAATCAGGAAGTATACAATCCAAAAGTGAATCTCATGTAGATTTATGTGTGTCATCAATGTTACTGTTTAATTGTCCAAATACTCATTATATATATTAAATTACTTATTTATTCATTAAATTAAAATAAAATTAGTTTAATATTTTTTCACTTTATTCCTAAAAATTAATACTCTTAAAGAAATATTATAAAAAGAAAATGATGGATTCATTTGAATTTCATGAAATTTAGTAGTGTTATTATTAACTTGTAAATGTATTAATTAATTAATAATTATTATTTTAAATAATATTTTAAAATTTTAATGAACATATTTATTCCACCCCCACCTCACCCCCTTAAAAATAGAGTATTGAAGTGAAATATAAATAAATGTTTTTTGAATTGTGTTTTTATTAGAAAGGAAAAAATTGTTGGGCAGTAATTTATTAAAATCATCTATAGTGACTTAAGACTTTTCTTTTTAGTAGTTTTAATTCCATTTATGTGAAATTACCACCTTACCTTAAAAAAGTAAGTTCCTGCCATTTTATGCCAAAAAAATCTCTTCCCAAATATATTTTCTGAAAGTAATATAGGTGGGATTATGAATATTATTAGTTTATAGAGATATTATTTTATCGATAAACTAATATTTATTTATTTAAAATGTATTTGAGATTCAATAAAAATTAATTTTTATTAGATCAAAATTGTTGTATCTTACTAAATATAATATTATTTATCGAATTCACATAAAAAATTTTTTTTTTTATAAAGTACAAGAATACATCAAAATCATTATATCTTACTAAATTATGTATTATATTTATTAAATTTAAAGTATACAGTATGTGTGTGATTTATTGTAATATATATTTTCTTAAATGATTTAATGTAAAATAAACTTAAGAATTTAATGATTCATTATAAAAATAACTTGATTATAATATAATTTCAATTGTTTCTTAACAATCAAATACTATTATTCATTGTATTTTTACTAAAATCATTCATGTATGATGGTAAAAAGACTAAACTATAGGAGTATTATATAACATAAAAATTTTCTTTGAATTAACCATATCCAAATATGATTTTTCATTTAAAAAGTGTCACAAAATCAATTATGAGGATAAAGTACCTAAAATATTATGTGAGTATAAAAAAGTGCATTCCACATGAACTCACAAAGATTTACGGTCATGGTAACACTCAAACTTTTAGATGCAATAAAAAGTTAGACATGAGTTTTAAATTTAATAATTATAAAAATACAATAGAATCATATTTTGCTACATTATCTTATATATATTTATACTTTTAAAAAATTATTAATTTATAATATTACTATAACCATATATTTATACAAATATCTTTTGAGAATATATTATTTTTTTACCCTATTGAAATAAGTGATTACGGAGAAAAATATTATCATAGAGATTATTAATTTAATAAAATTTTATTATATTAATATAGAAATTAATGATCAAAAATTAATATTTATATAACTCTTTTCCCCAGTTCAAAATTCAAAATAATGTAAAATACAAAGCGGATAACCACTAGCAAAATTTAGTCTAAAAAAAATCTTCTAACCTATTTCTCCGAAATTTTAGCCTTATTATTTGTTAACTTCCAAGTTCCAAGTTGCAGCTTATACAAAGACTCTCTATAATTTGATGATGTCAATCTTCACACAATTTCTATAGAAGACCCAAAAACCTATTCGGTCTCCTTCTTCGTCTTCTTCTTCTCCAACAAAACCATAAAAACCCCATCACCGTGCAATTTTTTCCCAATTCTGAAACAATCAACAACATGAAGAAAGAGCTTTTCGGGAAAAGGCTTACTGCCTTTTACAATAGTTTGATTTTCAACAAGAAAGATTCATGGGGGAACTCTGATGCTGTTGTAATCCATTCACAGCAACAAGAAAATCCGAATTCTCTGTCATCCCAGTTCTATTTATGGCTTATGGGTGAAAAACATGATGATACGACAGTAATCTTTACTCCTATTGGGATATTCTTTTTCTGTACACAGAAAAATTATTCCAAGATTCGATCTTTGAGTTGTTGTGCTACTGTGATGAGTAAACAGCCTGTTTCTGTTCAATTGAAGGCCAAAAACGATGAGGGTTTTGCGTTCATCGACTCCACGATACGTCAAGCCAGGGTAATTCGTAACAGCAAGGGGTTTACTGGTGTTTTTGATGATGATTGTAATTGGCCGTTTGTTGTGGGTTATATAGAAGGTGAGTACCCTAAGTCTAAGTTTTTTTGGAATTGTATGAATGATTTAGAACCCAAAAAGTATAAAGTAATTACTGTGGATTCTGGTATTAATAAGATGATTCATGCTGCTGATAAACCAATTTCTGGACGAGAATTAGAATTTTTGCAATCACTATTTACTACTTTCTGTCCTGAAGACGAGAAACAACTGTTTTTCCGGGGAAATCAACCTGGTTTGTTGGTGAAGGAAAAGAACGATCTTGAGTCTAAATTTGGACGTGTAGGCTTGAGTGAAAAGCGGAGGAGCAATTTGGGTTCTGAATTTGACAAAACTAGACTCTTCTGCGGTGATAAATCAGTGAGCGGGGTGGATGACCTCACTAAAAATGATTTAGATTTTCTTGAGATGCTGGGGAGTATTGAACGGTTCTCTTTGCCTAGGGAAGAACGGGATAAGTATAAGGTAGCAAACATGTCTCGTGATCACAAGGCAGGAAATAAAAATGGTGATCAGGTATTTAAGTCGGGGTCAAGTATTTTGGATGGTAGAAAGGACAAGTTAAAGGAAATAAGCAAACATGTTGATGATGTGTTCAAGTTTGGGTCATCTAAATTGGATGCTAAAGACTTCAAATCAAAGACCTTTGGAGAAAGAAAGAAAGACGTCGATCAGCTGTTTCAGTTTGGAGAGCAGTGTAAGATTGGAGAGAAGCGAGGCAGGAACAATCAGCCTCAATTGGTAATGGAGGAGAACAAAGGCACAAAAGATGTCGAGCAACTTACAGAAAAAATAACAGCCTTCTATTCCAGCTGGAGGAAATACAAAGAAGAGAAATGGGGAAAAGCCGATGTTTTGGTGATTACTTCTCCATCAGTGGCACCAGTTGAAGATTGGTCTCGTAGCTTCTTAGTGTGGTTGCTGGATGGTGAGTTTCTGGATACCACAGCTGTTTTTACGGACACAGGAATTGAATTTCTTTGCACCAAGGAAAGTTTCTTCAGGCTTCGTACAATTGGAATTTGTATGACAAAGATTGCAAAGCTAACTGTTTCTGTCCAACTGAAGAAACGAGGAGAACAATGTGTAGATTGGTTAAAAAAGACTTTGAGGCAGGTAAATACTGCGGCGAAGTCTAAACCTAACTGGTGCCCACTTGTTGTTGGCTGCATTTTCGGGGAGTCTGGGGAGATAGAGGTTCTTTCACGTTCCAGAATGTTTGAAGTTGCATATGTAAACAATGCTTTAACCGACCTGCTTGAACAGGGGAATTTTGTAAAAGCAGAAAGGTTTGCAGCTCAACAGTCAACTTTACCTAAGCAATTTCAGATGCTGTCTTTGGGAACACGTGGCAGTGCAAATACTGCAAATGCTGTATCATTTTCTGAGTTAGCCAAAATTAGGTCGATGGATGATAATTCTTATTTGTCAGAAGAATTACTCCGTGATGCAAAAACTCCTACTGACGGTAGAGTAGATAATGGAGGACCAGTTGAGCAAACCAAACCTGAAGAAAACAAGGAGGACAATTCATCAAGAAAACTTGCAGATAAGATGATGTTGCTTGATATAAAGGAGGGTGATGTGGAAACCTCTATCACAGAGGACAGTGCAGAAGAAAATCCATTGTGTATGTTATTTAATGATGAAAATAGTCCCTTGCTGCAAGTGAAGGAGCGTGGAGAGCAATCTGGACCAACTGCAGAAGGAGGAATTGATTACAGTGTCCAGCCAACTGGTGTTATAGATGCTGCATCAGAAAGTTCTTTACCCGATGATAACAATGGCATCTCGAGGAAGGACTCTGTTGGTTCTGATGATGATTGGACATTAGTTGAGATGGAGTGTCAAGGGAAAGAAACAGAAGTAGCCGAGAGAGTCAGCTGGGGAAGGTATCGATATCACACATTGTAATTTTCTTTAATCCTTTTCTCTTGGTTTGTTATAACAACTCTTTGTTCATGTTTTTATATAGGTGGTTCATGGGTAAAACTGGAAAATCATTTGGTTTTAAAGACGAGGTGACCGATGAAGCACCATCAAAGAGGACCAAGGCTGATCCATGAATACGTATCCGTTTGATTAGCTGCTAGCCAGCAGTAGGTGGTGCACAATAATGCTCTTTATTTTCTAGGTTAATAATTTCTGTTGCTTGTCTTAGAACTTGATAGCTCATCTTTAAATATGGTTCCGTCGTGTTGACTATATGTGCCTGCCTTCTTTAATCTCATGATGTTTATATTTTGCTCACAACAACTTCTGATACATTATTGTCCATCTAACATGTGTTTAAAAGACAATAACTGCCACTGCAAAAAACCTTCCTTTTGATTTTTATGTTACATCTGTGTGTCATATAACAGAGTGAGCTCATCTAAAAGCAGCATTAAGCTGAGAAGTTGCTTTAGTGCAGATAAAAAGTAAAGGTCTTCTTTGAGCAGAGGATCTATAGAGGGATAAGGGATTTAACAAGGTAGAGCCGTACGCTTATAATCCACCTTCTGGGATTATATTGGATATGTCGTTATATTAGAAATACGATAGTGCATTCTCAGAAGTCCAATCTTTTTTTTTTCATTGTCACAAATGTTAAGTAACTCTATTCATCAAGATTTAGACATTCAATAAAACATGGATCACCTTGGTATTGCATCTAGTGATACTCATCTTGATTTTTAGGTTCTTTACTCTTCTACCACTAAACACTATATCAGTTCGTGTTTGAAAAGTGTTTTTTTGTTGGTAATTTGTGTGATCCAGCGTTTTCAAAGTCATTTTAAGAGTTGAATTACATAAAATAAGATTTTTTTTTGGTAACCAATGTAATTACCATTAACAAACAAAAATCAAATACACCTAAAGAGCACTCAATCCCCTAATTACCCCTTCTAAGAGAGCTATTAAGTGAGTTAAGCCTCATATAGAACTCTAATTACACAAATCTCCAACAACCAACTATACGTATTCACCTTTCTATACCGTTTAACTACCTCAAATCTATCTACAAATTTCTTCTTAATTTGTGTTTAACTACCTCAAGTCTATCTACAAATTCCTTCTTAATTTGTGTCACAGACGTATTTATATTTATCGTGATGCCTTTAAACAATTTCCAATTCCTTGCTCTCTAGACCTGGTGTATCATTGTATTCCTTCTTAATTTGTGTTTAACTATCTCAAGTCTATCTACAAATTCCTTCTTAATTTGTGTCACAGATGTATCTGTATTTCCTTTAAACAAGACCTGATGCATCATATTTCGCACAATGCAGCAGTAAATTTCTTGTGAAACTGTTTCCACTTCTTTCTTCTGAGTCCATTTAGAATATGTTTGACAGTTCCAGTAGGAGTAGTGTTCCAGACCAATTTTGCATTTCAGTTTAGACTCTCACTATCATTCACAAGTAGAGAACAAAGTGAATATGGGTCTACTCTCCTGATTTCTTACACAAACAAAATGTGTCATCTTCCTCTAGAGTATTTAATCTCTTGAGTCTCTCTTTGGTTAGTAATCTATCTTGCACAGCCAACCACAATATGAATCTATGCTTAGGTTGAGCAAATCTAGTCCAGATTAAGTCAGTCACTCTACGTCTAGCATGTTTCCCCAATAGTGTATTATAACTCTGTATGAGTGAGTACTTTCCCTCGGAAGTGAGCAAATAAGCACCAGATGAATACCAAATCTGCATCTCTGCTTTCAAGACATTAACCTTCTTCCAGTACCAACTTGAGTCCAATGGTGGAGTATATATCCATATGTTATCATTGTTTTCATATATACTTCATGTACCCACTTGATCCATAACACATCTTCCTTCACAGCAAGTTGTCATAGAAGTCTACTAACAGAGGCCATATTCCACAACTTATTACCTTTGACGTTCAAGCCACCAAACTTCCTAGGAATACAGACTTGTTCCCAGGAAACTAGTGGCATTTTTCTTGATTCCTCAGTACTAGAGGCAATATGAATACGAAACTCCAAAAGCTATTTACTGAGAAAAGGAAAACATTAATTATTTGAAGGCGAATAAGCACATTACTGATCTTAGATGTTATTTTGTCTATCAATTGTTGACACTCCATCTTACTCCAACCCTTAGAAGACAAAGGTAAGCCTAGATATCTTTTAGGAAGAGTACCTAAGACAAACCCAGTCTTCTGCACTAGTTAATCTTTGGTCTGGTCGTCTACTCCTGCCAGGAATAAATTGGACTTATCCATGCTAGCTTGCAAGTCTGTGACATCACTAAAATGTGTTAGTGCCTCATTACTCTAGAAACAGAATTAATGTTGCCTTTACAAAAGATCATAAGGTCAGCCGCAAATATCAACTGTGTGAATTTGAGCTTCTTGCACATAGGATGATATTGAAAATCGGACAATTCTCCCATATGAATTATTATATTAGTGGTGTCTTGTCCTCGTGTCTTTATTAAAAAATTCAAAACAAGTTTATTGGGGGAATTTTTTCCTTTCTGTTGCTATTTCAGTATATTTTTTATTATCAGGAAAAGGGATCAAATATGTTATTCAGAAAATGCTTATTTATGTCATCGATTAAAAGTTTGGCACATTTATGACATTGTCGTTCAAGAAAAGACTCATTCATGCCATTATTTTTTAACATCGATTTTGCAAAACTATTTGTGATACGTGGCCAATTATAATTCAACCACATCATTCATTTTTTAATTAAAAAAAGTTAAATCAATTTTTGTTCAGAATTTTGATTTTTTTATTTAAAAATTTGATGATTTGGCCATGTCATCATTTTTTTAATAATAAAAGATAATTCAATTTTTGTTCAGAATTATGATTTTTTTAATTTAAAAAATTGGTGATGTAGCCGAATTATCATTGGTCACGTGTCAAAAATGATTTTGTAATACCACTGTTAAAAAATAATGGCATGAATAAATCTTTTCTTGAACGGTAATGGCATAGATGAGCCAAACTTTTAACGAATGACATAAATGAGCCTTTTCTGAAAGTTCAATAGCATATTGAGCATTTTCTCTTGTTGTTATTATTATTATCAAACACCTTCATTCTCTCATTTTATGAACGGAAAAGTGTCAAAATTGCCCCTGAACTATGCGAAGTAGATCATTTATACCCTCCTAGGAGACCACAAATACTCTCAAGAGTTGACACCAATTTTTTAGTGACATGGCATGTTACATGAGACTAATCCCTCCATCTAAGCGTTGTCAACTAAAATTCATTACAAAAGAACTTGACGTTTAGTGACGACTTTTATGAATGATTTTTAGTGATGACTAACCCTCCAACAACCATTCGCTAGTAAAATCTAGTTTTTCAACAAAAAAATATAATAATTAATTTTCGATTACAACATAATTTTTTAAAATAAATAACTTGCAATATCAATATTAAAAACACCTGATATTATAACGAAAAATCATGAAAATTACTTCTCGATTCACATCTCCTACGATATAATGCATCATATATTGTACACTTTATACATTTACATTTAACATAAAATAAAAATATACAGTGTCTTCAAACTTCTACTTAATCGATATTATTTTCATTTTTAAAAAAATAATAAAGAAAAAAACACAAAATTAGAATTTAATGTTAAAACTTTTAGTGACGATTTTTTTTGCTTTTGTGGCGACTATTTTCATATTAAAGGTCTAGTTCTTTTGTAGTGAATTCTGGTTGCCAATGCTTAGGTGAAAGGATTAGTTCCACGTGACTTGCCAAGTCAATCAAAATATGGAGTGTTAACTCTTGAGGGTGTATGCGGACTCTGAGAATAATAACAAAGACATTTTTTTGTCCCAAAATATAATAAAGATATAAGTGACCTATTTCACGTAGTTCACGAACAAATTCGATCATTTTCCTTTTTATGAATAACTAGCCTGTCAAAAACAATTTTTTTTTCTTCTACCATTTCTTTTTGGAATAACATAGTATAGCTAGAAACATTTTCTCAGTTTAAAAAATCCTAATTGTAAAACGTTGATATGGTACTTATTTTTTTTTTTTTTTTTTTTTTTTTTTGATATGGTACTTATTCATTTTCATAATCTAATCTTCGGAATCACATTTTCAAAAATTATTCAAAGACATTTTACCTATCCGTTAAAAAACACTTTGCAAACTATATCAAAATAAATAACTTCCAATAAATTGATCGAAGAAGTTCTTAATCTCCTTAAAACTTTATACATCTACAATATCTAAAATCTCACAATTCTCAAAATTCTATAAATCATCCACACAATATGTGCTTTTTCCACCGATACTTTACACTATCAAGTGCTTACGCTATCTAAATTGGTACATTATTGATTACACGAAAAATGGTCTGATATACTCCTTAACTTTGTCATTTGGAGTAGATATGTCTCTCGTTATGAAAGCGGCTCATATATACCCTTACCATTATATAAACGGTTCACATATACTTCTACCGTTACAAAATGAGCTCACATATACCCTTCATTTAACGGAAGTGAAAAAAATTTAAGAACATTAACGAAACTTAAATAAACTTGACCATCAAAATAATAAATCTAAATCAATCACTGAAACAAAAAAATATTTAAAAATAATATATGTTCGAGGAGGATTAAATATACCCATATAAAATTATATTTTTTAAAAAAGTAATTAAAAAAATTAATTATTTTTTTCACTTCCTTTAGAGGAAAATGATATATGTGAGTCATTTGTAGAATAATAAGAGACTAGGGGTATATATGAGTCACTTTAATAACGATAAATATATCAGCTTTAAATAACAAAATTAAGGGGTATATCAGACTCTTTTTCCCTCGATTATATATCACTATCAATTGCTTACGCCATCCAATATTAAACTATGTGACGTTGGTAATTATGACAAACAACAAGTTGGAAGCAAAATAGTTTATAGTCTTTTTCTCAAACAAAAACTATACTCTATGGACATGATCCATAATTATTTCATTGACTCTTTCTCATCGAATTAATTTTTCATAACATGCGTAGATGTTGATCTTAGCTATCTATGACAAAAGGACATTATATTCCCATCAAATAATTCAAGTCTATGGCATCCAGACATGTTGGAAATAACTTGTGGAGCATAAAAATGAAGAAAACTTAACTCACAAAACAAAAAGGGAAATAAAATGAAAATAGTTGTGTCAAGATTAGTACTCCAATTCATATAATTAATGACCTAAAAATAGTGACATTTGAAAAACATATAAAAATTAGTGAAATTGAAC